CTTCTCCTCCACTTCCCCACCCCAAGAGATACTTGAAAACATCCAGAAACCAAAGGACTAGTGAGGAGGAAGGAAGAACTATTTGACCCCCAGCTGGAAAGATACCTGGCCTGTGAAGAAATCAACCTAAACACTATCTAAGAATTATGTTTGCCGCCGGTTTCTTTAGTGACTCAAACTCACGTGCGCATGCTTCGTTTCATTTTACTTAGTCATCCGCTTTGTTCTGTTTGCTACCTCTCACATCCACCTTTTGGCATTACGACATTCATTTCTTATTTATAATATAACCCCGTTTGCATCATTTCAAACGGGGGTACATGTCAAGAACGTATGCATGCCTTTTTCCACTGGCTAAGCAGCAGTTCAGCAGAAAAGGCCCTGGGGATGATAGTGGATGAGAAGCTGGAGATAAGTCAACAGGGCGCTCTTGTAGGCGATAAGGCTAATGGCATTTTGGGGTGCATTAGGAGGAGCATTGCCGTAGATTTAGAGATGTGATTATCCCCTTAATTCGGCTCTGGTGAGGCCACATCTGGAGTATTGCGTCCAGTTCTGGGCCCCGCACTACAGAAAGGATGTGGACGCATTGGAGAGGGTCCAGCGGAGGGCGACCAAAATGATTGGGGGGCTGGAGTGCATGACCTATGAGGAGAGGCTGAGAGATTTGGGTTTGTTCAGTCTGCAGAAGAGAAGAGTGAGGGGGGATTTGAGAGCAACCGTCAACTCCTTGAAGGGGGGGTCCAAAAAGGATGGAGAGAGGCTGTTCTCAGTGGTGACGGATGCAGAACAAGGAGCAATGGGCTCAAGTTGTGGTGGGAGAGGTCCAGGTTGGATATTAGGAAAAACGATTTCTCTAGGCAGGGGGGGGAGAGCTGGGATGGGTTCCCTAGGGAGGGGGTGGAATCTCCGTCCCTAGAGGTGTTTAAGTCTCGGCTTGACAAAGCCCTGGTTGGGTTGATTGAGTTGGGATTGGTCCTGCCTAGGGCAGGGGGCTGGACTTGATGACCTTCTGAGGTCTCTTCCAGCTCTAGGATTCTATGATTGAGGGAGGAAGCGAATTTCGTTATCATTTGGGGCTTGTCTTCCAAGGGAGGTGGCCAGGTTCTGAGGCGGAGTCCTCCCAGAACAAATCTCTGAATCCTTTTACGGCTCGGTGCGTGGGCCGGAGGATGTTTCAGAACTTGGCAAATAGTCACAGGGTGGCAGAAAAGTCGGGCTCCCAGCACGTCTGGGGGCATCCCAAGATCACAGGCTAGACTCCTTTGGGATGGTTGGCATCCTCTCCACGTCATGAACCCGCGGTCGGGAAAGCCGTCACTGGAAAAGCTAGGAAGTGGAGAGGTGTCTGAAATCGTAGCAAAGCTGAGATCATGCACCCAGCCTGGCACTTGATCGTGGGGCAAAAGTCCGCCCCCGCCCAACGGGATGCCAGCCTGTTAGAATCACGCAGACGTTCCCCCTCCACCTTCGCCAGACTAACAATGGGCCGCTCACAGCTGCTTTTCTAGGTTAACAGCCTCCGAGGGGAAGCCGTCTCTCCGGCGAGGACGAACGCCGCGATCAATCTATGCCGTCGGCCGACACCGCAAGCTGCTGCCGCCCGAGCCTGCCATCAATCTGTTCTCTGCTTCTGGCTCCCGGAGGTCGACTTTCCCCACATCTCTCATCCCAGAGCTCCAGCCCCTTCTCCAACCGTCGCTCAAAATGCTAAGGCCGCTTTTAAGGACGTGAGAAGCAGGTGCTCTATCGAGGTGGGAGATTAAGATGGTTCTAGACCAGTGGTTCCTGTTTCAAGCGGTTAAAATGTCTTGGACCTTCCCCCCACTCCCTGCGGGAGAAAAATAAAGAAAAGAAAAAGAAAAAATAGAGAGAGAGGAAAAAAGAGAAAAGAAAAAAAGAGAGGTGAAACGAGAAAAAAGTGGTGCCCAGAACTGGACACAAGACTCCAATTGAGGCCTAACCAGTGCAGAGTAGAGCGGAAGAATGATTTCTCGTGTCTTGCTCACCACAAAACTGTGAATGCAGCCCAGAATCACGTTGGCTTTTTTCGCAACAGCGTCACACTGTTGCCTCATATTTAGCTTGTGGTCCGCTCTGACCCCTAGATCCCTTTCTGCCGGACTCCTTCCTAGAAAGTTGCTTCCCGTTCTGTGTGTGGAACGGATTGTTCCTTCCTAAGTGGAGCATTTTGCATTTGTCCTTATTCAACTTCATCCTGTTGACCTCCGACTATTTTTGCAGTTCGTCCAGATCAGTTTGAATTATGACCCTCTCCTCCAAAGCACTTGCAGCTTGGGATCATCCGCAAACTTAATGGCTGTTTGTGTCTAGACTGGCAAGTTAGTGTCTAGACTGGCAAGTTTTTCCGCAAAAGCAGGCGCTTTTGTGGAAAAACTTGCCAGCTGTCTACACTGGCCGCTTGAATTTGCGCAAGAACGCTGATGATCTAATGTAAGATTGTCAGCGTTCTTGCGCAAATACTATGCTGCTCTCGCTCAGGAAAAAGCCCTCTTGCACAAATGCTTTTGTCGACAGCTAAAAACTGTTTTGTGCAAAAAAGCCCCGCTGGCGAAAATGGCGGTCGGGGCTATGCTTTTGCGCAAGAGGGCGAGTGTAGACAGCTAAAAACTGTTTTGCGCAAAAAAGCCCTGATGGCGAAAATGGCGGTCGGGGCTTTCTTGCGCAAAACCGCGTCTAGATTGGCACGGACGCTTTTCCGTAAAAAGTGCTTTTGCGCAAAAGCGTCCGTGCCAATCTAGATGCTCTTTTCCGCAAATGCTTTTAACGGAAAAACTTTTCCGTTAAAAGCATTTGCGGGAAATCATGCCAGTCCAGACGTAGCCAATAAGTGTCCTCTCTGTGCCAGTATCTAAATCATGGCTAAAGATACTGAACAGAACCGGTCCCGAAACAGACCCCTGCGGAACCTCGCTCGTTATGCCCTCGCTCGTTAAGAACGACTCTCTGGGAACGGTTATCCAGCCAGTTATGCAGCTGCCTTATAGTAGCCCCATCTAAGTTGCATTTGCCTAGTTTATGGACAAGGTTGTGCAAGACCGTATCAAATGCTTTCCGTACCAGCTCGGTTCCCTGAAATCTAAGGCTCTTGTCTTCCACGTGTGCTCCCGCGTGAGTGGCATCTGTGAGAAATACTCTGCGTTTGATAGCAGGGAAATCAGGCCAGCCTCTCTTTATTTTCCCTTTGTTCTGCAGCTGGGGACTCTTGTTCTTTCAAGCCGCGCTTACAAAAGCAACTCAAGCTTCGCCTAGGGGCAGGCAAACCCACCCGCTTCTGAGTCAATGATCGAGGGAAGGAAAGCGCCCCTCCGCTTGACAAACAGAACCGCCGTTCTAGGGCAAAGCCCTCGACGGGAGTTGGATTTCACCTCCAGAGGCTTGGCGGCCGGCCTTGTGCAAACACGGCGTAGATCCACAGCTCTGCCGCTGAATTCATTACCGGACGAAGGCAAACACCTCACCGCCGGCCCGGCTAGGGGGGTAGTGCAAGGGAGCTGCTTCCTTGCTGATTGTGTGCGGCACCCTCCTGCCCTCCGCAAAGGATGGATAATGGAAGTTAAACAGGGCCGGTCGCTGCGGGAGCTGGGTCAAATATCTATTAACCCAGGTCCACAGCAGCTTCCCACGGCCACCGAAGTATCATTTGCGTGCGAACAGCACGGTGCGGGCTGCTCCAAAGCTCCGAGTGAGGTGGCCGGGCCAGAGGGAACGCAACTTGTGGGACGTGCTCAGAACCAGAACAGCGGGGGCCAAAGTGGAGGAAGATTTGAGCTTTCATAAAATCCCAGGGCAGGCTGAGACCTCAGGAGGCATCGAGTCCAACCCCCTGCCCAAAGCTGGACCGATCTGACCTCAAGAGGTCATCGAGTCCAACCCCCTGCTAAAAGCAGGACCCATCCCAACTAAACCATCCCAGCCAGGGCTTTGTCAAGATTCACCACCCTCCTAAAGAAATAGTTTTTCCTAATATCCAACCTAGACCTCCCCCACTGCAACTTGAAACCGTTGCGCCTCGTTCTGCCATCTGTCACCGCAGAGAACAGCCTCTTGGGAACCTCCCTTCAGGAAGTTGCAGGCTGCTCTTAAATCCCCCCTCGCTCTTCTCTTCTGCAGACTAAACAAACCCAACTCCCTCAGCCTCTCCTCGTAGGTCATGTGCGCCAGCCCCCGAATCATTTTGGTCGCCTTCCGCTGGCCCCTCTCCAATGCGTCCACATCCCTTCTGTAGCGAGGGGTCCAGAACTGGGCACAATACTCCAGCTGTGGCCTCACCAAAGGGGAATAAAGGGGAATAACCACTTCTCTGGATCTGCTGGCAATGCTCCTCCTAATGCAGCCAAATATGCCGTTAGCCTTCTTGGCTACAAGGGCACAGTGTTGACTCATCTCCAGCTTCTCAGCCACTGTATCCCCAGGTCCTTTTCTGCCGAATTGCTGCTTAGCCAGTCGGTCCCCAGCCTGGAACAATACTTGGGATTCTTCCATCCCAGGGGCAGGACTCTGCACTTGTCCTTGTTGAACTTCATCTGATTTCTTTTGGGCCAATCCTCTAATCTGTCTAAGTATCAGAGGGGTAGCCGTGTTAGTCTGAATCTGCAAAAGCGACGAGGAGTCCTGTGGCACCTTATAGACTAACTGAAGTGTAGGAGCATAAGCTTTCGTGGGCAAAGACCCACTTCGTCAGATGCATGTAGTGGAAATTTCCAGAGGCAGGAATAAATATGCAGGCCAGGATCAGGCTGGAGACTATAAGGTGCCACAGGACTCCTCGTCGCTTAATCTGTCTAAGTCGCTTTGAGCCCTCTCCGTGCCCTCCAACGTATCTACCTCTCCCCCTAGCTTAGTGTCATCTGCAAACTTGCTGAGGGTGCAATCCATCCCCTCATCCAGGTCATGAGTGAAGATGCTGAACCAAACTGGCCCCAGGGATATTCCTTCCAACGGCTTGCTACAAACGCACACCAACGGAACGCCCTGGCTTCTTTTTAACGCCTCCTCCCGAGAAAGGAACAGCATTTTTATTAAACCAAAGGCAAAACCAAAAAAAGGGATTTTCAGGGTGTCCCAATCCATGGGAACGGGAGGGGGAAAAGGGGCTCTGTCTCGAGACACAGATTGCTGGAGCCATTTGAGTTTCGGCCCCGGACACTTCCACGTGGGAGAAGAATCATCAGCAGGGACCTTTTAAATAGAAGGGCCCAGGGATGAGGTCGTCTAAAAGTCGGGCTATGGGGTGATTCTCAGGGCCAATTCCAACGTGAGGCTGCCACGGGGCCTGAAACAGAGCATCGGGGTGTCAAGAGACGTTAAAAAAGGCAAGCGACCGGGGCGGGTAAGAGACAGAGCCTTAGTGTTAGCTCGGCGTTGCTACGAGCGGGCGGGGGACCGGGGGCTAGTGTTTAAGGAAGAACTCAAGACCGGCCAGACCAAAGGTCCATCCAGCGCAGCGCCGAGGAGGCCGACAGCAATTTGGAGCTGGTCCAATCAGGTCGACTTCCTTGGGCTTCACGAGCTCAGAGTTGACCACAAATAAAAGAGGCAGTAGGATCGGCGTGGATTTAGGTGCTTCACTGCCCTGGAAATCAAGGGACGCCAGGAACCCAAATCTTTTCCATCTCTCCTCCTCGAGAAGCCGCTCTGGACCACTCGCCCTGATCTCTCCTTTTTGGGGCTGTCCGAGCCGCTTAAGACCTCATCGTGCTCTTAGGTGAGGCTACCGCCCTGAGTTGCAGCACGGCATCAGACGGGTTTGCACATCACCGGGGGGGCTCCCGGTTCTCCGCCCCTCCAAAATCAGGCGGCCGGACTGTGAGAAGGTCGCACCCAGCTTTCCCTGTCCCTCGAACTGCCGAAAGTGCCACGTGATTCGGGCCTTCCCCAGAGCACGGTTTGCCGGCTCCCAGGAGAGCACAGGACAGGCCCGACCAGACATCAATGCTGCTGACGACAAGAGCGGTGGCGGGTGGCGGGGGGAACGCAGCTCTGCGCTGAAAACGGCAGAAGAGAGGGAAACCAACCAGGGGAGGAGGGGACATGAAACTAGAGAACATCATGCTAAAGTCCACGGCCCAAGTTGTCTGCAGCTCAACAGCACCGGGTCCCGGACGGCAGCCCGCCAGCAGGCAGAGGGATCCGCTCCTGGCTGCCTCGCCACCTGCAGGTGCCTTCTAGCCCGGCCTTGCAGGAGGTGGTCCTGGCTGGTGGGTGGTGGGTTTGCTGGGACATCTCCTAGAGCTCCTCGAAGAAGGCCACACGGGACTTGGTGCTTTGCAAGGTGAGCTGCAAGAGAGAGGAAAGAGAGAGGCTGAAGAAAGAACGAGACCAGCTTCCTGCTCACCCAAATAAGGGGGCCTTCAGCCATGCTCAGGACAAGAATTTCCTCCCCCCACCCGTGTTCCCGCCCACACTGGGGAGATGTCAGTGGCGGGAGAGGCCTGGCAACCAACGGGCCTCTGGCCCAGAACCTGGGGGGCAAATATGAACAAACGGGTTTGAGGGTGCAGATCCCACGGCGAGGAGGACACAGCTGAGGGAAGACGCTTAGAGACCATCACCCAACTGCCCCGCGTGGAGTCCTAGGTGGCGCTAGGAGGGGAAGGGAGCAGGAAAAGACCCCAGATAGAAAGGACCACCCCTCCCTCACCTTGAGTCATCTCACCAAGAGACATATTACCCTCTGAAATACGTGATCGATGGATGCTAGGACAGATGACCCGCACAGACCAATCAAATGTTTGCGGCCTTCCCCATTCCTCCCCCCACGCCCCTCGGAGAGCAGCGTGGGAAAACGGGCCGTCTGACCGGATGCCGAAAACACCTCCGAGCTCCTGAGCATCTGGCCAGCTGCGTCTGCAGGAGATGCTCCCGAGGAACGCACCTGCTAACGGGCCTGGGTGTGAGGCCTACTCCCAGAGGGGAGAGGCTCTCGGTCAATCATAGTTGAGATTTACACCGGTGGCTCTTCTCAGCTGGGCGAGGGAACGGGAGTCATAGATTCCCAGAGCTGGAAGAGACCTCAGGAGGTCATCAAGTCACCCAATTAAAGTCCTAATCTTCACAACATCCTCTGGCGAGGAGTTCCACAGGTTGTCAGTGCACTGAATGAAGAAAAACGTCCTTTGGTTTGTTTCAAACCTGCTGCCTGGGCAATTCATTGGGTGACCCCCTCGTTCTTGTGTTATGGGAACAAGTCAGTAACTTATTCACTTTTTCCACGCCTGCCATGATTTTCTAGACCTCTGTCCTACTCTCCCCTTCGTCTCCTCTTTTCTAAGCTGAAGAGGCCCCGTCTTTTTCATCTCTCTTCAGTTGTGGAGCGAGAGTGAGCAGCCAGGGAAGGAGAGGGGCAGGAATTCCCGATCACTCAGCCCGGAGAGCATCCGGGAGGTAGGATTCCTTCTAGCCAAGATGGGAGGGAAGTGGAGCCCTTGGAGAAACATCTCAGAAGCAGACTCCATCAACGAGACCTTCTCTCTCCCACCCTCTTGGGAGGCCAGCTCCTGGCTTGCACCCTCCTCACCGCATCATCGACTCAGGCCCAGAATCACCCCAGGCCACCCTGCTTTGGAGAGGAACCGTAGCTGCACGACCAGCCTCAGTTTCCCCAAAGAGGAGAGATTTCTGCCCTCACCCTTTCAGCCCCTGGCCTGCTGGCTGGGCCACTGCTCCTTGCAAGAGGCCCGTGTGAGGTGGCTTTGCCCCTGCCCGGTTCCTGGGAGCCCAGCCACAGACCTGGCTGGACTCTGGGGCAGGAGCTCTCTGGGTTCTCGCAGGGAAGAGGAGGAGCCGGGGGCCTAGCCGGGAGCAGGCCAGCACGGCTGGGAAGGGGGCTGGCTCCGGTGCCAAGCGGCCATCTACAAGCAGACTTTCAGGAAAGGTATTTCAGCTCCACGCCCTTGGCTGCCACCATCTGGTGCTACCCCAGTTGGGGACTCTCCCACTTGGGTGGGAAAAGGAGGTGCTGGCTCCCTGGCTCCTGTCCCCATGTCCGGTGCCACCCACCCTGGCTCGGGGACCCTCACCAGACCCACCTGCACCAAGGGGAAGTCAGTGAATGGGGTGGACCATCGCAGCTGTCGCAGGGTGTCCCTAGACCCCAGTGCTCCGTGGCGGGGGGCCAGACACAGCTGATGTGCCTACAGTGGAAGGACTGGTCTTTGGCCGAGACACGGCTCTTAGCCGCACCGTGTGATACGGCTTAAAAGCCGCCCTGCCCCTTCGCCACACGTTTGCCTTTGTGCCTTCCTCAGTCACTCCTGCCAGCTCCCGTTCCGGCCAGAGAGCCCGGGCGGCCGCGAGAGTTTTTTTCCCCCACCTGTGTGCGGAATAAATATTGTCACATGCGCCAAGGCAGGTGCAGATGGGCACCGCCACTGGAAACACCGGCTGCTGGCCGCGGGCGGCATCTGAATCTCTCCTGGGCGGAGGACGGAGAATGAAAAGGCCTGCCGGTTCACCGAGGTTTCCTCTTCCCTTCGGGCAAAGAATTCTTGTCCCAGTTCCCTGGCAGTGTTTCCCGCCGGGTTCAGAGAGAGATTCGGACTTATTTCGATTCAGCTCCGCCCTGGGGCTAATGCCTTGCAATATCCGGGGAGTTTTCCACCATTCCCTCCCCGCTGGGCGTAAGGAAACCCAAACACAATCCCTCTCTTGGCACCGGTCTCAGTGCAAGAGAGCCGGCGGGGGACAGACGCAAGGAGAAAGATGGAATCGCGTTCTGTTCTCGCACGTCTACAGTTTGCCTCACCGTAGCAGGTCTGGCTAGCGGGGCACAGCTCTGACAGCCCTGGGGCTAACCCACATCTCCTACCCGGCTGCCCTCTCCCCTCTGATGCGAATCGGTTGCGTGAGAGGCGCCGAAAGAATTTCTCCTTGCTCTCGGTTTTCTGGCGTGTCTGAAGTTCGGCCCCTCGACGGGACACTGCAAAGAGCGAGAGTTTGCCTCACCGTAGCAGGTCTGGCTAGCGGGGCACAGCTCTGACAGCCCTGGGGCTAACCCACATCTCCTACCCGGCTGCCCTCTCCCCTCTGATGCGAATCGGTTGCGTGAGAGGCGCCGAAAGAATTTCTCCTTGCTCTCGGTTTTCTGGCGTGTCTGAAGTTCGGCCCCTCGACGGGACACTGCAAAGAGCGAGCGACGAGACGCATCATCGCTCTCCTGTGCTGAAACTGATTGGCACCCGGGAACCACCCCCCCTCCTATTCCGGGAACCCCGACTTCACTCCAACTGGGAAGCCAAGCTGGTCAAAGCAGAGGGCTGTTGGATCCTTCCAGCAAGCGACTGGGACCAGAACAGCTGTCGCTGTTTTGACACGATTCCTTATGTAAGCCTGGCACCCTATCACTTCCCCTCCGTACCTGCTGTCTGGCACAAGTGGCTCAGCACCTCCCATCCGGAAAGCCGGGCACTGGATCAGCCACCAGCTCTGCCGGCCGCCCTCTCCGACCCCCCTGGCGAGGTGGGAAGAGGTAAGGCGCAACACGAGACAGGGCGGGCCCCGGAGCGGGAGTACAGGCAAATTACATTTTCGTCAGTGCAGAGAGAAAATTGATTTACAAGGGCCGCGTGATGGCAAATCTCCTTCGTGCAGGAAGGAGGCGGGGGACGCGCCATCAAAGACAATTCGGAGGGAGGGAGGCAATTAAGCCGCGAGAGCTAAGCTGCATGAAGAGGAGGAAAAAGGAGAAAGGAATGTGGAGATTCATTCCCTGCGTCTTGATGCCGGGGCGGTGCAGGGCGCCAACAAAAATCGCCCGATCTGTGCTCGGATTTTCAAGCAGACAAGGAGGCCCTCGCCTCCAAACCCGTTTGACGGCAACTAACCCCGTCTCTTCCTGCGCAGTGCTTCTGCCGGCGTGAGATTCACCACATCCGGCGCCGCTCCCTGACGCCCTGGGGCCAAAGGTTTTCCTCCTCCACGCTCGGGCGAAGGAGGCGTGGAAAGAAAACAGAGGAAAGGCCACGTCCAGGAGACGTCTCCCAAACGCTGGCCAAATGTCACCCCCGGTTTTCACTGGTTGCATTTCAGTCGGGGGTGAACAGGAAAAAAAAAACAGTCGGTCAGTTTCCTTTACGTTGCTGGTCAGTTTCCTTTACGTTGCTGGTCAGTTTCCTTTACGCTGCTGGTCAGTTTCCTTTACGCTGCTGGTCAGTTTCCTTTACGCTGCTGGTCAGTTTCCTTTACGCTGCTGGTCAGTTTCCTTTACGCTGCTGGTCAGTTTCCTTTACGCTGCTGGTCAGTTTCCTTTACGCTGCTGGTCAGTTTCCTTTACGCTGCTGGTCAGTTTCCTTTACGCTGCTGGTCAGTTTCCTTTACGCTGCTGGTCAGTTTCCTTTACGCTGCTGGTCAGTTTCCTTTACGCTGCTGGTCAGTTTCCTTTACGTTGCTGGTCAGTTTCGTTTTTCCAGCTCAGAGGAGGTCTAGAGCGGCAGCTCTCGATTGGGGTCCGCTGTGGCCGTGGGGAGGAGACAATGGGGCCCTACAACTGCAGCCCCAGGGCCCCCCACAAGGCTGAAGTCAACAGATAAGGCTGAAGCCCTGATCCCCAGCGCCCCACACGGGGCTGAACCCGGGAGGTGTAGAACAGGGGAACGTCAACCTAGCCAGAAGGAATCGCGTAAGAACATCAGAACGGCCAGGCCAAAGGTCCGTCTAGCCCAGGGTCCTGTCTGCCGACAGTGGGCAAACGCCACATGCCCTAGAGGGAGGGACTCATCATGTGATCCTTCTCCTGTCAGCCATTTCCAGACAAACAGAGGCTAGGGACACCCTCCATAGTCACGGATGGATCTGTCCTCCGTGAATGAATCTAGCTCTTTCAAAATCCTGGTCTTCACCACATCCTCCAGCAAGGAGTTCCACAGGTTGACTCTTTTCCTTTCCCTCTCCTCCGAGGGCCGTGGGATCTCCAAGCTGCACCTGAGGAGCCCATTAGAGACGGCACCTGGACATACCTTGCTTCAATCATGGCAAGGCAGCGGCATGAAAAGATATTCCAACGCCCATGTGCATAACTACCAAATCACCGACCACTATTGTTCCAGGGACAGATCGCGCCTAGCTCTCAGCCTGGGTACTTCAGAGGGAGTCGTTGCACTAGGTGGAGAAATCCAGGGAAGAGAAAAGCAAACGAGGGCGAGGGGAAAACCAACCCCTCAACCAATTCTTTGACGTCCAGGGCTTCGCTCACCGAACAGGTCACAAACCTCGGCTTGAGTCGAAGCGGGGAGGAGAGAAAACGCCGCGCGTTTAGTCATCGACGCTGTTCTAAGCAGCACATCCGCTGGAAGCGGAGCCATCCAAGCCAAATCGGCAGCCGAGAGACCAAGCAGCATGGGAAGGGAATAGGATCCAGATGAGGTAGCTGTGCCGAGCTCATAAAAAGGGATTCGCATGTTAACCGCCTAATTAAACACAAAACGTTTAGCAGGTCCCCAATACCCGAGAGATCACAAAGACAACATTTGCCAGGAATCAAGTTTAATTACAGGAGGGGCTCCTTCCAGACCCAGCGTTTCTTACAGCTGACGGATTTTTTTTTTTGCTTCCCAGAGTCGTTCGTGCTGGAGTTATGCCCATCACGAGAGTCGGCTCAAATTAAAAGATCCGTAAAAATAACGATCAATTAAGAGATGGCCCAACAGGCTCCAAGTGTGCTTCTCGCTGAACCCTTCACCCAAACCTCCCAGTGACGTGATAAAAGCAGAAACAAGTTGTTTGGGGCCCGGAGCCGCTGGTGTATGCAAAATCTGGACGGAACATTTACAGCTCCAAGACATCTAGACGGCTCCAGGCACTCGCAGACCCTGGTGTGAACCCGCATCGCGTCACCCCGGCAGGATCCAAAGACCGCCGGCGACGCTCTGAACCCTTCACCCAAACCTCCCAGTGACGTGATAAAAGCAGAAACAAGTTGTTTGGGGCCCGGAGCCGCTGGTGTATGCAAAATCTGGACGGAACATTTACAGCTCCAAGACATCTAGACGGCTCCAGGCACTCGCAGACCCTGGTGTGAACCCGCATCGCGTCACCCCGGCAGGATCCAAAGACCGCCGGCGACGCTCGGGGCCGGCTGCGGCCCTCCGGGGGCTGCTGATCGGGACATACCCGCCGTGGGGACCGTAAAGAGAGACACCACCTCTGAAGCCGTTCAGGGTCTACACAAAGGCGCACACGTCAGTAAACGGCACCCAGGCGAGCACAGACCGAGGCTTTGGAGAAACCCGTTTCGTAGACAACCAGCATGGTGGTTCTTGAGTATATTGGGGGAGAAGGGGATAAGGCAAGGCAAGAGGGACGCAAGGTGAGAAAGAGATCAAAATCGGAAAGATCGTAGAGCCAGGCTCAGCTGCAGAGACCACCGCCTGCTCCTGCTGACCACACTGGAGTTGTGCGCTGTTTACAGAGACGAATCAGGCCCGGAGAGATTAGGAAAATCAAGATTCATTGGCTCGTTTAGGCTCCTAATCTGGCCCCCGTGGCGTTCACCCTGCGAAACGCCGGCTGAGACAGAGGCACTAAAAGCCTCCCCATTCCCGGAGTCGGTGAAAACCGGACAGGGCAACACCTGTGCCCCCAAGAGGCGGGGGAAGCCAGAACTGAAACGGTCTTTAACATTTCCAGGGTTCTGCAGGACAGCAGGCAAGGAGCGAGGGGAAACCCACCCCTCAACAAATTCTTTGACGTCCGGGGCCTCGCTCACCGAACAGGTCACAAAACTCGGCTTGAGTCGAAGCGAGGGGGAGAGAAAACGCCGCGCGTTTAGTCATCGACACCGTTCTAAGCAGCACACCCGCCGGACGCGGAGCCATCCGAGCCAACTCGGCAGCCGAGACACCGACTCCGGGTACCTACGCGTCTCCCCGACGGGGTGAGTCTCCCAGGGGTGTCTGGTGGAGGCTTCCAAACACCAGCTGGCTTTCGTTGTTTCCTCGCAGTCGAGAGCTTGCAGACTCTACGCTTACCTGCTGCTCTCCTCCGAGCCGGTCTGGAAACACACGGGGCGGCACCGAGACGGAGTGAGGAGTTTTTGCTTTTTTTGTGGGGAGGGGGGGGAAGGAGACTCATTGGCAGTTCTGCTCAGCTGCCATCCTCCTGCAGGGAAGGCATGCTGCGTTTCGCCCGCTCCCTGCGGACTGTCTTCCTTCGGCTTCCATCAAGCAAGACCCACCCCGAGACAGAGGACTCCGGACAGAAGCGAGCAGACAGCGGCAGCAAATGCCCGAACAACGCGGCTAACCCTGACACGCTCTTCTGAGGGTGGCATGGGACACGGGCGTGGGTCTCTCCGCTGGCGGGGCGCAGGCATTCGGGGGGGCTGCAGCCGGCGCTAGCCGCGTGTTTGGGGGACAAGCTCATGCACCAGTTAGTACGACAGACGACAACCCCATCACCACACACAGAGTACCTGGGAATAAGTCTCAAATGCAGATAGGTCTTCTGCCCTGGCCTTGAGGCTAAACCAGCAAAATAAAATGAACAAAAACAAACTCTCCGTGATTTGAAGCCGCATTCCTTGGCGCACTCGTATACAACGGTGGGCTGGAGCGTTTAGCGTCCGCGAGAGGGAGGGGAACACGAGGCAGGTAGTTCTCTACGTCGGGGGCCTCAAATCGCCCCCTTTGTCAGAGCGTGGAAGATGAGCGCCCCTCGGACCCGAATGGCACCGACCAAGCGGCCCGCGTTTCACCTGGCACGCCTCCGGTTCACAGACTCCGCTTTAAAACGTTTGCTCCCCTGGCGGAGATCGTAAACAAACCCGCACGGTGAGGTAGGGCTGTGTGTTGGGACGGCCATTATTATAATACTAGCCAATAGCCCGTCATAAAATGCGATTTTTGGGTCTCTCCTCTACGGTCTGTCTCTCTCTCTCTCTCCCTCCTCCTGCCTCCCCCCCTCTCTCTCAGCTCTTCTCCACCTCCTGCCTCTTTCTCTGTCTCTCCTTCTCTTCTCCTCCCCGTCCTGCCTCTCACTCGGGGGACCGCGGAGCCCAAACGGCCATTTGGGCTCCGCGCTCCCTGTGCGGGGGAAAGCAGCACAAGCGGCTGTTTGGGCTCCACACTCCCCCTGCAGCACAGGGACCCTTGAGCCCCAACCGCCCG